TTACAGCGTCCGTTTGCCTTGCCATGTTCGCTTTAGTATTAAAGTTTTCATCATCGGCTTGTAAGGACTGATACAGATTTACAATAGTATTACTTCTTTCTGACGTGGACTTGAGTTTCATTTAAGATGGTTTACTTATACATAATACAAAACGTCTAATTACAAATTTATTTTTAAACCTGAATATAAAATGCAAATGTGTTATCAAATGGTGATTCAACGATGTGGATTTTTTCCACCTTCTTTTCTCTTTTCTTTCCTTTTCGGCGGGGAAGGTTGATGGGGTATGGGCCTATAAATAGAGCTGAAATAATTTTAGGATTAAAGTAAAATAAAATTATAAATATTATTAGCTGTCTTGAATATATGTTGAGTACAATGAGACCCGTCAAATCAAATATTCTTTCCTTTTAAACAGCTATATGTATAGAAGTCCGTCCTCACAAATTTAAAAAAAAATTTAAACATTTAAAATAATAACATCATTTTGTAATTTTATAGCTACTAAGACATGATCCTAAATTGTATATGATAGTATAAATAGTAATTAGGCCTACGTAAAGAAAAAAATGTTTTTTTTTTTGCCTCAGACATGTAATTTACAGATTTACAATAGTAATACTTCTTTCTTACATGTAAAATACTTTCATTCATTAAATGTCTTACTTATATATAGATCTATTTTAAAACGTCTTATCACAATTTTATTTTTATACCTGAAAATGCAAATGTGTAATTAAATGGTGATTCAATGGATTTTTTAATTATTTTTTTAAAACAAGCATTTTTTTTTATTACCAGCAATTATTGGTATCGCCAAGAATACCATCATTTTACAATGAACAGTTTGATTCAAGAATATTTGACACAAACTATCAAGTTATATGAAAATCCTATTTTTTTTCACCCTCAGCAACTCATTTAGATTTGTATTTTAAAATATTTATCATCAACTATCCAGTCTTCTTTTTCTCTCTTAACCTCTTAGCATCTTCAAATGCTTGAAGTGAAAGTTCTAGCTCAGGTTTTTGTTTGGCATCTGTTGCTACGTAAGCCTTAATGATCTGTTCTGGTTGTGCATTCTTTCATTCTTTTATAACTTGTGAGCAACTGCTTGATGGGTGTATTATACAGTAGGCTACAGAGTGACAAGATCCTTAGCATCTGAATGAAAAGAAATAACAACAGTAAGCAAAATTTACTGGCACAAAGTTCAAGGGTTTTAAACTAATGCTAATTAAAAAACAACTTACAAATTTCGACTGATCATGTCCAGTAATAAGTTATCAATCATTTTATTCCAAGTTAAATAAAATGCAATGGAACCAAAATGTCTTGTTGACCGGAGCACATCAAAGTCCTTTTTGGAATTGATTGCATTATATACACGATGAGTGGTTCTGATAAAATCTGGATCATCATGTTCAAATTGGGCAACAAGCTGTGTCTAGGATTTAAATTTTTAATTTTTTTTTTTTTTTGGCTTCAGTCATGTAATTTACAGCGTCAGTTGTGTGTGTTCGCTTTAGTGTTTACAGTTTTCATCACCGGCTTGTGAGGACTGATACAGATTTACAATAGTAATATTTCTTTCTTACTTGTAGCCTACTTTCATTAATTTAAGATGGTTTACTTATACATAGATCTAATACAAAACGTCTAAATATAAAAAAAAAAAAAAAAAAAAAAACCAACCTGAAAATGCAAATGTGTAATTAAATGATGATTCAAGGGATTTTTTTCCCTCGGCGTGGTGGTTGGGGGGGGGGGGGGACGGGGGGACAGGGTGGAATTTTGGTTTTTAAGTAGAGCTGAAATAAATTTGTGATTACAGAGAATTAAATTATGATACAAATTTTAATTTAAAAAAAAAGAATTTATAATTATTTGGAAGTCATAAGTAGTAATTCTAAAGAATTTTTTTTTTTTAGAAAACCTAATTCGAAGACACTGAAAATCATTGTTTGTCTAATCTATATCTATGGCGTTTAATATTGGGAATCTTAATACGGCCTTCTAAATGAATTCAAATTTTACAGCTGATAAAATGAGTTAGTTTAAAAAAATAGTTTGGTTTAAATATTTACCCAAATAGGAAGTCGTATAATCTTTTCAAGACTCTTTCACGTATATTTGTTTCCTCATCATTCGAGTTATCGTTCCTAGTTCTAAAAGTTGATTGTCGCCCTCTTTCTCTAAGTTATTAACAACTTCCCTCTTCTAACGAGGAGAACTTTGGTGACGACATACCTTTGTATAGCAAAAAGCAGCGCTAGAAACTGAATTTGAGCCGGTATTTCGCGTTTTTTAGAAGACTGTTTTCGTGAAATGTTATAGAAATTGACTATATTTTCAACGTTGAAAAAGGTAAATAGATACATATATTTTTTTTTAAATCAATCTTTTTTAATTATCATAAAAACTTAAATTTCTAGGGCTGGAGTTAAAGGGGGGAGGGGGGTGTAGACTCAAATAAGATGTTATTTTAAATGGCGGTTGTCTGGCTTTATGTGACGAAAGGGAAGGGGATGGGGTGAGGTAAAATCGTTTTAAAAAAGTTGAAACGGCGTCTGTGGATGACCCCTAATCCACATAAAACTAAACATATATTTAATCATATTAAGAGTTTCTTCCCCCCCCCCCCCCGGAAGAAAAAAAGTCTGGAAGAAACAACACTGATCATATAATCCGTCCCATTTGTAAATAAACGTGTTTAATATCCCGGAAGGCACCACGAAACACAGAATGTAAATAAACTAATGTCCCCCCCCCCCCCCAAGCTCATCAAACACCTCTACTTTATACAAAGAAACCACGCATGCGTATTAAAACTAAAATGGCTACGACACGACGAACTAAGATCATAGTTTTGCATAAGTCTAAAATCTTAATCCACGCTTAAACTTTACCGTACTTACGGTACGTATTACTTTGTCAATAGAACAGTTTTTCTTTATTTGAATAGCCATCACATTTTTTTTTTACCTAAGCAAATCATCTTGAGTTCGTTCAAACTTGAAGTATTGCTAACCAGAGGCGTCGCGAGGTGGGGGCGGGGGTGTGAACCGCACCGGGTGACACTATTCATGGGAGTGACATCAAGACAAAAAAAATGCAACTTAAGTAGAATAAATATGTTTTTTGCGGGTTCAATGAATGGTTAATTAGAGTTAAAAAATTATTTAATTAAATAATGAAGAGACCAAGGGGGAGGGAGAGGGTGACACCATGACGTAAACATGCAAACTATAGATAAAAATGTGCTACACACAGCTATATTCACAACCGGGGGATGGGGTGACACCAACTTCAAAACTTACATAGAAAAAAAGAGGGGGGGGGGGGGGGGGGGGGTAACACCATGAGGTGCCGCAGCGGGTTTCCCGATCTAGGAATGCCACTGTTGCTAACGTAACAATGAGTCACCCTAAGTGTTGCTAGGCAGTGCTATGGGGTCATCCGTTTATGACAGACACACCTGGGAGGAGGGGCGTCATAAATGCATGACTCCAATATACTATGGTGCGAGATTTTGTAGGCTGCGGTGTAAGATAAGATTTCGTGACCTCTGTAAAGAAGAACCAAATTTGGATAGAATATATTGCAACTTTTCGCTTGCTCGCGATATTTGCAAGTTAAGATCACACCGAGGAAGATAATTCTAACCTTTGAAAGTATACTTTCACGTAAATGTTTAAGTAATTTCATGGGGGGAAAAAAGCAAGTAGCGTCCCCCTTTTAGAACCATGGGACTGGTGAAGTAGAGTTAGCCTGTTTTTGTCACCTCGGCATATGAAGGGAGTGTGTGATCAGCACTACGCCCACGACCTTTAATTTCCTTAACGTGGTCCATGGTTCAAACTCGAAGCATTGGGTTTGGCAGTCTAGCACTCTATCGCTAGGCCACTCCATTCTCTTTTCGAAACTGACAGCCTATGGAGCAAGTGAAGTAGAGTTCACCTGTTTTTGTGACCTCGGTATATGAAGGGATAGTGTGATCAGCACTGTGCCCACCCTAATTACTTCCCCTAACGTGAACCTGATTCGAACTCGAGGCTTTCGGGCTAGCAGTCTAGCGCTCCATCGCTAGGCCACTCCGTTCCCTGTTTCGTCTGTGCGCAGGTTTGGCAGAATATAATGAGCGCCACTGAGCGAAGTCTCCAATGCTCTATTATTTTTTATTAATCGTAAGCGGTATTATTAAAATAAATGTAATAAACTTGATAGTATATTTTTGTCTGGCTTTACTACGATATTTTTTTTTCAATAACTAAAAGAAATGTAAAAACAAACAGAAAAATATTTTGGGTTTTCTCATTTTCTCACTAAAATTGTAATTACAAATGGCAGCACTAAGCCATGTAGTTTTTAAATGTATGCTTTTCAAAAAAAATATTTATTCACCCTCCTACGTGGGGTTTTCAGAACAACAATCACGTTATTTCTTTACAGCCAATCAAAGCTTGTTATCCTAAAGTGAAACCTCAGGTTAAAATTTTGAAAGATATATAGAAAATACCCCCCCCCCCCCCACCCCCACGATCGGACGAAATAGAATAACATTTAATTTATATAGAAATTATATACATTGACCAGTTTTCCCCAAACCGGATTTTTTAGTGCATTTCAGGAAGTTTCTAATGCCCTCCACACCTCCACCCCCCTCCCACCATCAGAGAAAAACGTCTGAAAGTAACCCTGGTTGCAAAATCTGTTTTTATTATTTGTTTTGTCATATTTACCTAAACCAGTGGTACTTCGCAGTAATGCCCCTTTAATTACGTGTAGGAAAATCTAATCTAAACATAATATCTGTTCCGGCATAATATATTACAAAATTCTTATTAATCCTTGCCAGTCCCTGTAGATTATAGGGCAGCAACAAATATTAACATATTACACTATTATTATGTAATTATACTGCTAATTTTCCTGATTTTGTGTATAATTAAAACTACTTTAATTAATAATTTCACATAACTTTTCTCAATGTTAGTTACCTCAAGACCTTACCCCACGCTCCATGTTGCCAGCGTAACCAAGGTAACCAGCACCGGAACACGCCGCCATGTTGCTGAGAACCCGTTCGCTCTGTAGGTACCATAAACCTCGCTTTGTCACGTGGTTCGGCATCCTATCAGCGGCGTCCATCTCCATCCTGTGCTATTTCCTCATCGGCACTTCATCGGCCAGCACTATACGCGAGACTCAAGTCCCCAACAACGTTGTGGTAATGAAGGAGAACGAGAATGATAAGGACAAAACGGCGCCCAAAACTGTGCAGGAAATAACACCCAAACAGGAACCATCCGCGGCTAATAAAGATCCAGCCAACAAAGATCCAGCCAACGCCAACAAAGATCCGGCCAACGCCAACAAAGATCCGGCCAACGCCAACAAAGATCCAGCCAACGCCAACAAAGATCCGGCCAACGCCAACAAAGATCCAGCCAACGCCAACAAAGATCCGGCCAACGCCAACAAAGATCCATCCAACGCCAACAAAGATCCCCCTACAACAACAACTCCCATCACCAAAGCGCCACCTATATGGCCAGGAGTAGATTACCTTAATCCTAACCCTAAGGAAGAGAAAAGCGGACCTGACAACGACGTCGACAATATACGCTTATACAGGGACTTGTATGCGCAGGAGTCGTGGCCGGGCGTCGAACCCGCGACGTTGACTCCAGGTGAGATCCCCAGCACGTTGCACTACTTCTGGTGTGGGAAAAAAGTTTTTAAATTCGAGGATTATCTCGGGTTGTTGAGTGCCGTGAGGATTATCAAACCGCAGAAGATTATATTCCACCACGAGACGCCGCCGTACGCGGAGACTTTCTGGTACCACACGTGGTTCCAGGAGATGAAGCAATCTCTGCCTAACTTCATCCTCAGACACACAACAGAGGTTCTCAAATGTGGAACTGAAGACGTCCTGAGGTTCGTTTTGAAGAAACTCTCCAGCGAGGGAGGAATTTATATCGGCGAGCGAACAATCGTCACCGGAATTCCAAAAGAACTCTCCACCGGAAATTTTTACTCCAGCTTTCGCGAAAACGGCGTGGTTCATGACGTCACGCAGGGTGTTATTTATAGCAAGGAAGGATTCCCTGAAAACACCATCGAAGAAAAAATTCAATCATTTTCAAAGACGAACTCTAAATGTTTAACAATAGAAGAATTAAACTCCCACGCCGAAAGTCTAGGATCTAAATCTTTTGACAACACCTGCGTTGTCGTTTGGTCGTCCGTGTTTCCAAAAGACTCCTGGAACAGCACCACCAAGTTCGCAGAGCTTGCCCGGTGGTTGTTCTACGGCCAACGGGCCAGGTTCGAGACCAAACTGGCGGAGAAAGACTCGGATATGATTCCTCTCTTATCCCACATTGTCTGGATCCAGCACGGCAATGATGAGTTCAACTTTCTGCACTTCTTGAGCGTCATCTCGGCACTGCATGTGGCAGGGTTCCAGCGGGTTTACGTCCACGGGGACGCCCGGCCTCATGGTCAGTGGTGGGACAAGTTGAGTGGGGAGAACGTCACATACGTCAAGGTAAGGGGTGGGACAAGTTGAGTGGGGAGAATGTCACATACGTCAAGGTAAGGGGTGGGACAAGTTGAGTGGGGAGAACGTTAAGGTAAGGGGTGGGACAAGTAGGTGGGGAGAATGTCACATACGTCAATGTAAGTGGTGGGACAAGTTGAGTGGGGAGAATGGCGCTTACGTCAATGTAAGTGGTGGGACAAGTTGAGTGGGGAGAACGTCACATACGTCAAGGTAAGGGGTGGGACAAGTAGGGTGGGGAAAACATCACAGAAGTCAAAGTTAGTGGTGGGACAAGTTCGGTGGGGGAAATGTCACTTACGTCAAGGTAAGGGGTGGGACAAGTTGAGTGGGGAGAACGTCACTTACGTCGAGGTAAGGGGGGGGGGGGTAAGCTAGGTGGGGAAAACGTCAAGATAAGGGGTGGGACAATTCGGGTGGGGAAAACGTCACATACGACAAGTTAACTCACTAACTACCCAAACAAGTCGATGTGTATGGACCTATAAGAGTATAACATATCTCCAGTTTAAAATGGGTTAGCAACCATGAGCTTCCCCTTCCGATTGTGTGTGCGTGTGTGTATGCGTTTGTGTGTGTGTGTGTGTGTGTGTTTGTGTTAGCAGAAATCATGCTTTTGCCTGTTTGCCGTACCCCCACGTAAGACTCTCCAGACAGCCTGAGTACTTTATATGTTTTTGTACCGTGAAAAATTCAAGTGTATTTTTTAATACCAATTTTCTTAAAACTCTTCAGAAACCACTTTGTCTAATTCAGCCTAATCTGTCTATTCTCTCTATTAAGTCTAGTCTCTCTATTCTGGTTATTCAGCAGCCTATACAACCTATTCTGTCTAGTCTGTCTATACTGGACATTCAGCCTATTCAACCTATTCAATTTGTTCTGTCTATTCCTCAGATAGAGAGTCCAGAGGTCATCTTCCAACAAAGAGTAGGAGGCGCCCAACATCAGTCTGACGTACTGAGACTTAACATTTTGTTGAAATATGGAGGCACCTATCAGGTAGATTTTAGACCTAACATTTTGTTGAAATATGGAGGGACCTATCAGGTAGATTTTAGACTTAACATTTTGTTGAAATATGGAGGCACCTATCAGGTAGATTTTAGACCTAACATTTTGTTGAAATATGGAGGCACCTCTCAGGTAGATTTTAGACTTAACATTTTGTTGAAATATGGAGGCACCTATCAGGTAGATTTTAGACCTAACATTTTGTTGAAATATGGAGGGACCTATCAGGTAGATTTTAGACCTAACATTTTGTTGAAATATGGAGGCACCTATCAGGTCGATTATAGACCTAACATTTTTTTGAAATATGGAGGCACCGCTCAGGTAGATTTTAGACCTAAAATTTTGTTGAAATTTGGAGGCACCTATCAGGTAGATTTTAGACAAAACATTTTGTTGAAATATGGAGGTACCTATCAGGTAGATTTTAGACTTAACATGTTGTTGAAATATGGAGGAACCTATCAGGTAGATTTTAGACCTAACATTTTGTTGAAATATTGAGGGGCATATCAGGTAGATTTTAGACCTAACATTTTGTTGAAATATGTTGGGACCTCTCAGGTAGATTTTAGACTTAACATTTTGTTGAAATATGGAGGGACCTATCAGGTAGATTTTAGACCTAACATTCTGTTGAAATATGGAGGCAACTATCAGGTAGATTTTAGACTTAACATTTTGTTGAAATATGGAGGCACCTATCAGGTAGATTTTAGACTTAACATTTTGTTGAAATATGGAGACGCATATCAGGTAGATTTTAGACCTACCATTTTGTTGAAATATAGAGGCACCTATCAGGTAGATTTTAGACCTACCATTTTGTTGAAATATGGAGGCACCTATCAGGTAGATTTTAGACTTAACATTTTGTTGAAATATGGAGGCACCTATCAGGTAGATTTTAGACTTAACATTTTGTTGAAATATGGAGGCACCTTTCAGGTAGATTTTAGACTTAACATTTTGTTGAAATATGGAGGCACCTATCAGGTAGATTTTAGAATTAAAATTTTGTTGAAATATGGAGGCGCATATCAGGTATATTTTAGACCTACCATTTTGTTGAAATATGGTGGGACCTATCAGGTAGATTTTAGACTTAAGATTTTGTTGAAATATGGAGGGACCTATCAGGTAGATTTTAGACCTAACATTCTGTTGAAATATGGAGGCAACTATCAGGTAGATTTTAGACTTAACATTTTGTTGAAATATGGAGGCACCTATCAGGTAGATTTTAGACCTAACATTTTGTTGAAATATTGAGGGGCATATCAGGTAGATTTTAGACCTAACATTTTGTTGAAATATGTTGGGACCTCTCAGGTAGATTTTAGACTTAACATTTTGTTGAAATATGGAGGGACCTATCAGGTAGATTTTAGACCTAACATTCTGTTGAAATATGGAGGCAACTATCAGGTAGATTTTAGACTTAACATGTTGTTGAAATATGGAGGCACCTATCAGGTAGATTTTAGACTTAACATTTTGTTGAAATATGGAGACGCATATCAGGTAGATTTTAGACCTACCATTTTGTTGAAATATGGAGGCACCTATCAGGTAGATTTTAGACCTACCATTTTGTTGAAATATGGAGGCACCTATCAGGTAGATTTTAGACTTAACATTTTGTTGAAATATGGAGGCGCATATCAGGTATATTTTAGACCTACCATTTTGTTGAAATATGGTGGGACCTATCAGGTAGATTTTAGACCTAACAATTTGTTGAAATATTGAGGGGCATATCAGGTAGATTTTAGACCTAACATTTTGTTGAAATATGTTGGGACCTCTCAGGTAGATTTTAGACTTAACATTTTGTTGAAATATGGAGGGACCTATCAGGTAGATTTTAGACCTAACATTCTGTTGAAATATGGAGGCAACTATCAGGTAGATTTTAGACTTAACATTTTGTTGAAATATGGAGGCACCTATCAGCTAGATTTTAGACCTAACATTTTGTTGAAATATTGAGGGGCATATCAGGTAGATTTTAGACCTAACATTCTGTTGAAATATGGAGGCAACTATCAGGTAGATTTTAGACTTAACATTTTGTTGAAATATGGAGGCACCTATCAGCTAGATTTTAGACCTAACATTTTGTTGAAATATTGAGGGGCATATCAGGTAGATTTTAGACCTAACATTTTGTTGAAATATGTTGGGACCTCTCAGGTAGATTTTAGACTTAACATTTTGTTGAAATATGGAGGGACCTATCAGGTAGATTTTAGACCTAACATTTTGTTGAAATATGGAGACGCATATCAGGTAGATTTTAGACCTACCATTTTGTTGAAATATGGAGGCACCTATCAGGTAGATTTTAGACCTACCATTTTGTTGAAATATGGAGGCACCTATCAGGTAGATTTTAGACTTAACATTTTGTTGAAATATGGAGGCACCTATCAGGTAGATTTTAGACTTAACATTTTGTTGAAATATGGAGGCACCTTTCAGGTAGATTTTAGACTTAATATTTTGTTGAAATATGGAGGCACCTATCAGGTAGATTTTAGACTTAAAATTTTGTTGAAATATGGAGGCGCATATCAGGTATATTTTAGACCTACCATTTTGTTGAAATATGGTGCACCTATCAGGTAGATTTTAGACCTAACAATTTGTTGAAATATTGAGGGGCATATCAGGTAGATTTTAGACCTAACATTTTGTTGAAATATGTTGGGACCTCTCAGGTAGATTTTAGACTTAACATTTTGTTGAAATATGGAGGGACCTATCAGGTAGATTTTAGACCTAACATTCTGTTGAAATATGGAGGCAACTATCAGGTAGATTTTAGACTTAACATTTTGTTGAAATATGGAGGCACCTATCAGGTAGATTTTAGACCTAACATTTTGTTGAAATATGTTGGGACCTATCAGGTATATTTTAGACTTAACATTTTGTTGAAATATGGAGGCACCTGTCAGGGTAGATTTTAGACTTAACATTTTGTTGAAATATGGAGGCACCTGTCAGGGTAGATTTTAGACTTAACATTTTGTTGAAATATGGAGGCACCTATCAGGTAGATTTTAGACCTAACATTTTGTTGAAATATGGAGGCACCTGTCAGGTAGATTTTAGACTTACCATTTTGTTGAAATATGGAGGCACCTGTCAGGGTAGATTTTAGACTTACCATTTTGTTGAAATACGGAGGCACCTATCAGGTATATTTTAGACTTACCATTTTGTTGAAATATGGAGGCACCTGTCAGGGTAGATTTTAGACCTAACATTTTGTTGAAATATGGAGGCGCCTATGATACATATTTTAGACCTAACATTTTGCTGAAGTACGGAAGCACCTATTTAGATTTTAGACCTAACAATTTGTTGAAATATCAAGTTAAGGGTAGGCTACATAAAGGGAAATATTTGCAAGCGCCAGAGACTCTTCTAAAAACGAAACATTTATGTGGAAGTTTAAATGTTAAAAAATTAACATATATATTGATCATAAAATCATTCGTCTTTCTTTTACTAACTCTGATAGAGTCGGCAGACTCGTTTTTGTAACAGAAAACACTCCAACAGTTTGGGGTTTTTTTTTTTCAAAATTTCAAAATAGTGTATGGTGAAATACCACTAAAGTTAGCATTAAAGTTAACTGTATGCCACCATACCAATGAAAATCTAAGTCGGCAAGTAGCCGGTTTTCGACATCCCTGGGCCGCATTAACAATGCCATGCCCCCATCCTGATCACATTTTAATGGGGTTTTGAAAACTCGACGTTTACCGCGTAATGAATACAATGTGCGCGGTATGGCGTCGTATACGAATTTCGCACGACACTGCGAGGTATGTGGGCTACATTGTGACAGATGCGTGGGGGGGGGGGGGTGCGGACCGCATTCGTAGACACCATTTAAGGGGGTGACACCAAGGCGAAAAATTGCAAAATGTACAGAATTTTTTAATTTTTTTTTTGCCAGTTATATTTATGATCAATTAAGGCGAAGCAGTCTTTTAAGTACAATTCGACAATTATTACAAGAGGGCGGGGGTGACACCATGACGTAAACGTGCGAGAAAACAATGCTGCATGCAACTGTATTATTAACAAACTTATAGATACACCTCGATACTATTAAATCTGCCGTGATTAAAGCGTATACACATACATGTACGCGTAAGTGGGACGTATTTAAATTTAAGGCCTATGCAGGCTGACACACACACACATATATATATATATATATATATATATATATATATATATATATATATATATATATATATACTTTGTTTCGGGGGGGGGGGTGACACCTCGACAAAGCGACGCCATTGTGAAGATGTATTTCATACAGCAACAGGAGTTCCTTTATCTCCTTACTCAAAGCGTTGATTCAAGCGTGTCGTTCTATAAAGGTACGACACCGGAGATAAATATCCCCTCTGTCATACGAGTTGACCCCATACTGTGTCTCATATTAGGTTGGAGAAACATTAGAGGCTTAAAATTTAGACATAGAAAAAATAGCAACATGTATTCGCTCAATATTTTTAACTGTATTTCAAAAGAACCAAGGAAGCGAGCTGAAGCATTGACGTCTAAAAACCACGCAGGTAATTCTAAACCCGTCATGTTAACAGAAAATATGATTTCGGTTGCAGAAATGACATTACAACACACAATGATAACAGCTAATTTCCTTAGCAAAAACGTCTTTACAAATTTTTTAAAATAATATAAAGAGACATTGAATGCCATGTGACGTAAGACGAAGGAACGATCTCAAGGGGGTTAGGGAGGACTAGCCAACCATAACACTAGACGAGGTGGTTAGGGAGGACTAGCCAACCATGACACTGGACGAGGTGGTTAGGGTGGACGAGCCAACCATAACACTAGACGAGGTGGTTAGGGTGGACGAGCCAACCGTAACACTAGACGAGGTGGTTAGGGAGGACTAGCCAACCATGACACTGGTTGAGGTGGTTAGGTTGGACTAGCCAACCATAACACTAGACGAGGGGGTTAGGGAGGACTAGCCAACCATAACAATAGACGAGGGGGTTAGGGAGGACTAGCCAACCATGACACTGGTTGAGGTGGTTAGGTTGGACTAGCCAACCATAACACTAGACGAGGGGGTTAGGGAGGACTAGCCAACCATAACACTAGACGAGGGGGTTAGGGAGGACTAGCCAACCATAACACTAGACGAGGGGGTTAGGGAGGACTAGCCAACCATGACACTGGTTGAGGTGGTTAGGTTGGACTAGCCAACCATGACACTGGTTGAGGTGGTTAGGGTGGACTAGCCAACCATAACACTAGACGAGGGGGTTAGGGATGACTAGCCAACCATGACACTGGTTGAGGTGGTTAGGTTGGACTAGCCAACCATGACACTGGTTGAGGTGGTTAGGGTGGACTAGCCAACCATGACACTAGACGAGGGGGTTAGGGAGGACTAGCCAACCATAACACTAGACGAGGGGGTTAGGGAGGACTAGCCAACCATGACACTGGTTGAGGTGGTTAGGTTGGACTAGCCAACCATAACACTAGACGAGGGGGTTAGGGAGGACTAGCCAACCATAACACTAGACGAGGGGGTTAGGGAGGACTAGCCAACCATAACACTAGACGAGGGGGTTAGGGAGGACTAGCCAACCATGACACTGGTTGAGGTGGTTAGGTTGGACTAGCCAACCATGACACTGGTTGAGGTGGTTAGGGTGGACTAGCCAACCATAACACTAGACGAGGGGGTTAGGGATGACTAGCCAACCATGACACTGGTTGAGGTGGTTAGGTTGGACTAGCCAACCATGACACTGGTTGAGGTGGTTAGGGTGGACTAGCCAACCATGACACTAGACGAGGGGGTTAGGGAGGACTAGCCAACCATAACACTAGACGAGGGGGTTAGGTTGGACTAGCCAACCATGACACTGGTTGAGGTGGTTAGGTTGGACTAGCCAACCATGACACTGGTTGAGGTGGTTAGGTTGGACTAGCCAACCATGACACTGGTTGAGGTGGTTAGGTTGGACTAGCCAACCATGACACTGGTTGAGGTGGTTAGGGTGGACTAGCCAACCATAACACTAGACGAGGGGGTTAGGGAGGACTAGCCAACCATGACACTAGACGAGGGGGTTAGGGAGGACTAGCCAACCATAACACTAGACGAGGGAGTTAGGGAGGACTAGCCAACCATAACAGTGGTTGAGGTGGTTAGGGAGGACTAGCCAACCATAACACTGGTTGAGGGGGTTAGGGAGGACTAGCCAACCATGACACAGGACGAGGGGGTTAGGAAGGACTAGCCAACCATGACACTGGTTGAGGGGGTTAGGGAGGACTAGCCAACCATAACACTAGTTGAGGTGGTTAGGGAGGACTAGCCAACCATGACACTGGTTGAGGTGGTTAGGGAGGACTAGCCAACCATGACACTGGACGAGGTGGTAATCCCAGTGGGGTGCTCGCAACGATTGTGAAGAAGGCATAGTGGTGATTTATTTTATTTTTTTCAAAAGTAATTCAATGATCAACGAAGCGGCGTCAAGTTATTTGAACGTCAAGGATTGCAGATGGGGGGGGGGGGGAACAGTGTTTCTTCCAGACTTTTTTCTCCGGGGGGGGGGCACTTGAAATTTTCGGGGGGGGGGGGGGGGGGGGCGGTAGACTTTCTTCGGGGGGCGGACACTGTTAAAAGTATATATTTTCTATATAAATTATAAAAATTTCATTTCGTTCGAGGGGGGGGGAGGGCGGTAAAAAGTTTTCGGGGGGCTTAGCCCCCCCCCCCTTCCCCCCGGAGAGATGCCTGGACGAAACTCTGAGCTAAGAATAAACCCAGTATTATCAAACAACTCTTCAAGAAACGAGTTTTACGTTTGATATTGGCATCTGTAGTCAATGTATCAAGGGTATAGAGGACAAACGCAGTATGTCCAAAAAAAAAAAACATAATCTCGAGAAAAATGAGTTTATAAATCTCACTCCAATATTAAAATAGTGCAAAATATTATGTTTAAACATTCATAAAATATTAGCATTCTACTTTTCTGACAGTGTACATGAGTGTTCTTGTAGCTTGTACTATTGACAGTATCAGTATAAATGTACATTGATTTGACAAAAAAAGTGGACATACTGCATTTGTCTTCTATACCCTCGGTATGTCGACATTAGCCATTTCCCGATTTAACCGGCCAGTTCCCACTTATGACAATATTGGGCTTTGGTCTTAACGTATTCATGCTCACTGAATACTCAGCTAACCGAACACCCCGGTCTTACATCTTACCAGTGGCGTAGCGAGGTCGGGTGTCACTTAATGGTGTCACACCCCCCCCCCCCCCCCAGAGGCGTAGCGACCCTTCCAGGGGACTAACTTTCAATTTTCTATATGCACCCTC